ATAATGTAAATAGTGTACATAATACCTCATCTCAGAAATATAGACAGACACTGAAAGGCCGAAACTTTGTAATAAATATGGTGACAAAGATGAGAACAATAGTCCGAATAATGTAAATAGTGTACATAATACCTCATCTCAGAAATATAGACAGACACTGAAAGGCCGAAACTTTGTAATAAATATGGTGACAAAGATGAGAACAATAGTCGAATAATGTAAATAGTGTACATAATACCTCATCTCAGAAATATAGACAGACACTGAAAGGCCGAAACTTTGTAATAAATATGGTGACAAAGATGAGGAGAATAGTCCGAATAATGTAAATAATGTACGTCTGTGGGTAGAGAAGATGGATTCATTCGTTTCCCAATGTATTTGTAGAAGTGTGAACGTAACGAATTTGCTCTTAATTCGAACTCGGACCATCAGTTTCTCTAACCGGGTCGACGTAGCTATCTGACCAGCAAAACAGTGTCGATCACCTCAAGGTAACTTCCTTTGTTTCAAGTGCGTTGTCTTGATGAAAAAGCTATAGATAGGGCCAATGTAAATGCGGAGAAGATAGAAGAAAAGACAGACAAGATAGAGTGGCCCCACCATGATAAGGCAATCATGGCTCTCCACTATTTCTTGTCCTTTGTAGCTCTTAAGAAATTTTGTCTTCTTCTTATCTCTGCTAAACCCTGTTCTGCCATACATTTACTCAAAATCACTAGATAGGTTATACGTTGTTTTCCTCCGCCTATCTTCCCTACAGCCTGTCCTGTGAGTATCTAATTTTCCAAGCCTTCTTTCCTCATTATTTACTCTAGAATTTTCAACTGATGTTCACTATAAATGCCCTTTTTGTTCCAATTTTATCTAAAATTTTGTCGTTGCGCACATGTTTAGTCCATGGTATTCTCAGCATCCTTCTGTAGAAACACATTTCTGTTGCTTCAGGTCTCTTCTTCGTCGCGTAACATTTGATACTCACATTGTCATCGATAGAGTTTATATGGTTCGAGCGTCCTCATAAGTTTGCTTTCAGGAAGGAAAGAAAAGAAAAGAGAGAAGAGAAGGAAAGAAAAGAAAAGAGAAAAGAGAAGGAAAGAAAAGAAAAGAGAGAAGAGAAGGAAAGAAAAGAAGCGAATAAAAGGAAGTTCACTTTTGTGCATGCGTATGCATCAATATGTAATCATACAACGTGTGATTCAAATTCCCGACAGATTTCATTTACATAATGTGTCCATCGTGCAAAACAGACCGCGGTGTGACCGGGCCGTTACTCTCTTGATATATCTCTGTTTGATATCTCCTGGCAGACGGATCCGTCAACGCAGAGGCGGTCATCATTTATGGAAAAGAATGAAGAGGAGGTAATTTACCCCGGCCTGTCAAAGCACAGCCAATGAATAAAAAATTCATTAGGGTTCAACGATGCAACTAATCAGGTATTATTGAGAGATAAATATGAGCAAACATTCGTCGCAGCAGTCGGCCATTTCCGGTGAGTAAAGATGCATATCTGTCGACATTAGCCGAGCTTAACTTTATACGACAAAAGACACAATTGAAATGAAATCTAGAAATATTGTAGTACGCCAATTAGTACCCCAAAACTCCATTTCCGGCATCTATCTCGGATGGAACCGAGAATATGTGTTTGAGTGCCTCCCCTCACTCTCTCTCTCTCTCTCTCTCTCTCTTTCCCTCTGTCTCTCTCTCAATCTCCCTCTCAATTCATTTTCTCCCTTCCCCTCTCTTCCTATCCTCATATCCCTCTATCACTCCCACCCTCTCTCAGTCCCTCTCTCTCCATCCCCTTACCTCCATCTCCCCATCCCTCTCTTCCACCCCTCCCTCTCATTCCTCTCTCTCCCACCACTCTCTCTCCATCCCTCTCTCCCACCCTCTCTCTCTCTCAACCCTCTCTCCATCTCTCTCCCCTACCTCTTCTCTCCTCTCTCCATCACTCACTCCCTCTCTCTCCCACCCTCTCTCCCTCTCTCTAATCATCCCTCTCTCTTCCACCCCCTCTGATTCGCATATGTATCCGTAATATATTAAAAAAGCAATATTAACCCGTGAGCGAATAATTCTTCTTCTTTATGTGCCGTGTCCCTTTAGGATCATGACAGTCACGGCTCTCCACGATATCTTATAGTGTAGCTTTTCATAAACTAGAATTGTTTTACAACACGCCCATTTTGTATTGCTGAAGTTATCGCTAACACTTTTGTCAAAATTTTCAAATTCTACGTTTCGTTCAATTTTGTAAACCAATCGATGAAATTTTAATAAGCTGATTTGTTTGGAAAAATACTTTGACAAAAACCCTTCATCAAGGTTTAATAATTTTTTTTAATTTAATTTAATTTTATAGGGCTTCATTGTAAATATTTTTTTAAGAAAATTTCTTTTTTTCCTTTTTAACAGCGAAGAATAAATTCTTAGTATTTCTTACTCTTGAGCATGCAACGCACAACTGGCAAAGCGTAAATATTTCTTTCTGGAGCTAAATTCCAACTATTTGAAGCGTTTGGCTTTGTGATTTATTTATAGTTCTTGCTTATTCAAAATTCAAAGAAAAGACATGCAAAAAGTATTGTCTATATGTATAAAATATCAGGTAACTTAAAAAGTCCTTGTCACGTGGGAAGAAGTGATCACTGATATGTAAATGAGTGTGTCACGAACCGGGAAAGGGGTGGGGTGGGAAAGGGATCATTAGTTTTGACCAATACAGATGGACTGCGCACACACATCAGGCATAGATCGAGCAGCGGCGGGAAAGCATCATGCTGTCAAAGCAGCTCATTCGGAGTTGTCTATTTTATGACATTAAAGTGGGCTTTTCCGCAGCCCATCAAGTCGCCGAATAGTCTTTGGGGTTAATGCTGTGAGTGAAACAGGCATTGATTTTAGAAGTTCAAGTCGGAAGATCTATCCATCTGTAGCCGGCCAGACGTCCTCGATGATGAGACCCTGAAGGCGGTCATAGAGGAAGACAATTGCGAAACATGCGAAGAGCTTGCCGAATGCTTCAAATTGAAGGTGTAACAGCAAAATTGTCCAATTGTTAGATTAAGCTTTGAACTGTTGTATCTTAGAAATGATTAAAGATATCTTACTAGAATTCTCCGATGTTTTTATAACACTATTGGACTCTAATTTGAACAATAAGAATGTGTTTAGCTCTAAGTTGAAATGATGATCCTTTTTGCTGTTCTGATCTCCTGATCCAGATTTCCTCTCTACTGTTCCGTGTTTTTTTAAAACTTATTCATTGTTCTCTTGTTTGTTTCTGGATAGACTTTGAAGATGGAAGCCAGAGTATGAATGTTGGTACCATTACTGAAGGCCTGAATGATCTTTTTCCTCTTAACATTGCTCAGTTGGGAAGACATCGTGGGGCTGACACGAAATGATTGTAACCTGTTCTTTTTCTAGCTAATAACTCGTAGGATGTTTCAGTGATTCTTAAGACAAATGGTGTCGAGATGGCTAAAGGACTTATCTGAAAACCTTAAAGAAAGAAACTCAGTTTAGTAATTTTTTAGATATTAAACATTTTGTGAGATGGAAAATTATCCCATGCTGTAACACGATTTGGACAATTACACCCGGTATTATATATATAGTCATATACAGTCATATATTATTATATATAAATTCATCCACAGACAGATTCGCTGTCTCACAGACACCTCAGTGTGACTAGACGTCCGATTGCTTCAAACCGGGATCGGAAGCCGACTGATTTGACATCAGCCAAATATATTACCCCTACGCCATTGTCAGAAGGGAATTTTAAAGTTTTCTCTATACGAAATACGCCAGCAACTCGGAGAACTCAATTAATACTTGAAGATTAATGTTTAATAGCAGTGGGAGCCAGTGTGTTTTTTTTTTTAAAAAAAAAACCTTTCCCGAGAGTACTCAACCGGATTTCCGGGACGCTATATAGTCATGCAGAGACAATCTTTTTCGCTGTATCGCAGCTCCTCAGTATAGCCAGACGTCCCATTACTTCAAGCCGTGATCTGATTGATGTCAAATATCTTACCCCTAGGCCATCGTCGTTAAAGGATTTTTAACGTTTTCCTCCATACGAAATACGCCAGCGTCTCGAAAACTCAATTCATATATATATATATATATATATATATATATATATATATATATATATATATATATATATATATATATATATATATATATATATATATATATATATATATATATATATATATATATTGTGTATGTTCGTGTGTGTGAGCAAGCTAGGCTAAACTGTTCAGATCTGTTTCAGACTCTTCATGTCCACACACCATAATCTGTTCATGTCTATCTATCTATCTATCTATCTATCTATCTATCTATCTATCTCTCCCTCTCTCTCTCTCTCTATATATATATATATATATATATATATATATATATATAGAGAGAGAGAGAGAGAGAGAGAGACATCCTAAATCTGAAATCCTAAAGATATATATATATATATATATATATATATATATATATATATATATTTATCTTTATATATATATTTAAACATCCTAAATCCGGAAATCCTAAAATATATATATATATATATATATATATATATATATATATATATATATATATATATATATATCTTTAGGATTTGGATTTAGGATGTTTAGGATTTCAACTCCAAGCAAGGTAATAAAGCCACTAAGACTCATAGATTTATTGAGTGTGAAAGAATATGGGTAAAAGAAAAACATTATTAAGGAGAGAGAATAATACAAGTACAGTAAATTAAGAAGAGTGCATTTGAATTTTTGAAGAGCAACATTTGACTGGAAAGCAAGAGACAAGAAGAGAGTTCCACAACCAATAAAGGAAGAACTGTTAGCATAGAACTTACGGTTATATCCAGCAACTCCAACTGTAAAAGGATGAGACATATCTGCCAATCTAGTACTGCGCTTACATTCGTAAACTCGCGGTACAGAAGAGAATATCTCGAAAAGATTACCATGAAAATAGTTATAGAAAAAACGCAGGGAAGCTATCTATCTATCTATCTATCTATGTGTGTTCCTGTCTATCCCAGCCTGCTCATATCTATCTATCTTTCTATCTCAGTCTGTTCCTATATATCTCAGCCTACTCGTATCTATCTATCTATCTATCTATCTATCTATCTATCTATCTTTCCCAGTCTATTCACATCTATCTATCTAGCCCAGTCTATTGACATCTATATAAATATACGCGAATATCACCGTGTCACACTTTTTCAACTTTACTCTTAGAGGCCGTAGCCCAACGTATTATACCATTTTGGAATCAGACCGACTCCGTGAGCAAATTAAAAGAATTAAGGGCCAGATCCAGACCCGCAATCCTGAAATTTTGGATTCCCAAGATTTCATTACTGTGATTGTTTCCGGCAATTATTTACGGGATTTTTTTGCGACGAATTTTTTGTACGATAACAATTTTTATAACTTGGAAATAAATTTTGGAATAATCGAAATTATTTGCGAATCCAGCGCAAGTCAACCATGAAATAAAAATAATTATGTGCACCGAAAATAAGGACCTACGTACATCAAATTGTCTTTAAATTGAGTGGCAGCAGAAGAATTATCGTTGAACTTAAGCTTAAATATTAATGCAATACTTAAATGCAGCGATCAATTTTGAGTTCTGTAGTTTATTTTTGCTTATCGTTTACGGCAGCAATATGCCTCACAAAAAGAAATCTCCTCCAACAAAGGACAACATTGCAATCAAAAGAAACAAGGTTGCAGCGAGGAAAAGAAAGTTCCGTGCAAATGAAAACCCAAATCAAACGGGAGCCAGGAGGGCTTCCAATGCTGAGAATATGCAAAGATTTAGGGACTCTCAAACTCTGGAACGAGCCGAATTCCGCTTAAGATAGGATGGCTTTTAAGTTAATCTATATATATATATATATCCCCGTCTATTCACATCTATCTATCTATCTATCTATCTATCTATCTATCTATCTATCTATCTCAGTCTATTCCTATCTATCTCAGTCTTTTCTTATCTATCTATCTCAATGTGTTCATATCTCTGTATCTCAATCTGTTCATATCTATCTATCTATCTATCTATCTGTCTGTCTGTCTGTCTGTCTGTTTATCTATCTCAGTCTCTTCTTATCTATCTATCTATCTATCTATCTATCTATCTCATTGTGTTCATATTTCTCTATCTCAATCTGTTCATATCTATCTATCTATCATCTATCTCAGTCTCTTCATATCTATCTATCTCTGTTCATATCTATCTATCTATCTATCTATCTCAGTCTCTTCCTATCTATCTATCTATCTATCTATCTAAGGTCTTTTCAGTGTAGTTGTAGTATCAAACACAGATGAGTTCCGTTGGTGTTGAACAAATCTCAGCCGGTTATATTTTACTTTGTTAATATCCCCAAATATCTATAGCTGCTCTGAACGTGCGTGTCTCTTAAACTTCGATATCTATCCTGATACATGAATGAACCCACAAGCAAACTGACATCATAAACTGTTCGGGTCTGTATTTTTGAGCAAAAATGTTTTTTTTTTTTACTTTTTAAGAAATAATTTGTAGATACATCCAGAGTTATACTAAAATATGCACTAGGTTCATAAAGTTTTCATAAAACACTGAAATGATTAAAAAATATATATATTAATTAGCACTGAATTTTCCCAAACTGTCCAAAACATGTTTATTTGTGGTTGATAAAATTGTTATAATTAATTTCCAGGGAGCCATTCCTCATACAGCGGCTCTACCCTTACACTGATGGGGAAGGTGAGGGTGTGCCACTGGGGTATCTCAAACGAGAAGTACCGAGGGAGGCTGAGCAATTTTGTTTGTAATCTGACGTACGTGTGGGATACCTAACATTCACTACGGCGTTGCGCCATTTTTCGTTTCAGTTCGCGTGCGAAAAGATACCAACGTTTATTGAATTATCCAGAGTAGAGTTCGATGTGATGGCCTTATAAGCATCCTTTTCACTGCTTCAGTCATTAATCAGTATTTAGAAACACGTCCTGGGGCATTTGCGGCGTTATCTGCAACATTTCGTGTATTTGCTGGTAATTGTGAAAAAGCAAATCACTCCTGACGAACAATGAGAAAGTGCGTGCTAGCAAGATAAAAATTGGCAGCTAATTTAAATAGGAGAAAACTATAGTGAGGAGAAGCGAAAGAAATGAAAGAAAATGGCGATTAACGTTACGTGGCAGGGAAACAAGGAATCGGGAGTTCCGCAGACGAGAAGTGCGAGAAAAGTAACTATTAAACTAGAACTTAGGGTTATATCTCGTAAAACAGTGAGAGCCAGTTGCGAATGTGGTAGCACGGTTAAATTTATGTATTTGGGGCACCTGGTGAAAAAATTTCATCGGAACAGTTGCCATGAAAAAATTTGTGGGAATCCACGTCACGTCGGTGTGAAAGTGACTGAAGTCGAGATTCCAGATCAAGATTGATCATAAAGGGTGTTTCATTAAAACGGATTATATATAAGGGTGTTTAATTAAGACGGATCAAAGTCAGCAGTAAATAAATCAATGTTATAGGTGAAAATTTATTTCTCTATTGGATCATGTTATTTGTTATAGTAATTTACCCACGCACGCATGGACTCTCCCAGCTATAAACAGGAGCAGGTACTACTTTTTGGAGTGTGAAGTTTCCAGCAGTCAGCTCTGACAGTCGAACCGAACATTCTTGCTGTAACACTCTCGTTTGTATATGTTTGTATTACTGTTTTCTTTTAATATATTTGTTTAACTCAATTCCTCTTTTGTGTCTTTAATTCTGGCTCTAACAAGGCCACAACATTATTTAAGTCATGGCAAAATAATGGTGAAATGGTGAAAAATAATATCGCCCAAATGTCCGCCAAATCTGAAAGAAAAAGAAAAAAAATCATTAGACGCTTAAACTTAATTCACATTTAAAATCGCTCCAAGTTATTGGAACACCGTTTATTACAGACAGTTCTTTGAACTTTGTCAAGAATTTCGGAATAAATAGTAGAGGGAAGCAAACCAGATATGGCAATGTATGGACGAATGGTAGATTTATAACTGTGTAAAATGGATTCTGATAAGAAGAATTGTCTGGCACGACACAGTGAACCAACTTTCCGATTAGTAATCCTAACAATTGATTCAACAGAATCATTCCACTTCATGTCAGAAAGAGTGAGTTCAAGAAGACACAAAGTGTTCCTGGAATATAGAATCAGTCATATTGATGGAAGGCTAAAAAGTTTCTCTGTGGTGGTTAAATGAAAGCACTTTTGTTTCAACCGCCTGTGTCATAGTGGCATTGTCGCCTTTCTTGGGGTGAAACGATTAAAAAAATGTCCAACTGTTAGATCAAGATTTGAACCGTTGTATCTTAGAAATGATTAAAGATATCTTACTGGAATTCTCCGATGTTTTTATAACACTATTGGACTCTAATTTGAACAATAAGAATGTATTTATCTCTAAGTTGAAATGATGATCCTTTTTGCTGTTCTGATCTTCTGATCCAGATTTCCTGTCTATTGTTCCCTCTGTTTTTTAAACTTATTCATTGTTCTCTTGTTGGTTTCTGAATCGACTTTGAAGATGGAAGCCAGAGTATGAATGTTTGTACCATTACTGAAGGCTTGAATGATCTTTTTCCTCTTAACATTGCTCAGTTGGGAAGACATCGTGGGGCTGACGCAAAATGATTGTAACCTGTTCTTTTCCTTGCTGGATAACTCATAGGATGTTTCAGTGATTCTTACGACAAATGGTGTCGAGATGGCTAAAGGACTTATCTGAAAACTTTAAAGAAAAAAAAACAGTTTAGTAAATTTTTTTTAGATACTAAACATTTTGTGACATGGACAATTATCACATGCTGTTACACCATTTGGACAATTTTGCTGTTACACCATGTATTATATATATATATATATATATATATATATATATATATATATATATAGTTATCCACAGACAGTTTCTGAAGGATGAAAAGATTTTCTGTGGTGAAGTCACAATGTCCATGCATTGCCATATCTGGTCTTCTGTCTTCTACTATTTATTCTGAAATTCTTGACAAAGTTCAAAGAACGGTATGTAATAAACGATGTTCCTATAACTTAATGTGAATTAAGTTTAAGCGTCTAATGATTTTTTTTTCTTTTTCTGTGGTGATTAAATGAAAGTACTTTTGTTTCAACCACCTTAGCGTCTTAGTGGCTTTGTCGCCTTTCTTGAGGTGAAACGATTAAAAAAAGGTCTTGGTTTGATTATCAGCGTATAATTTCAGGAGAAGCTCGAAGAATGGCGGCTATTGTAAGACTAAGAACTATCTTGGAAAACATCTACCTGAAATCAAAGATCAAATTATTGCCTGCATTTGGTCTCCTCGATCGTTCCGTACATTTCCGAATGATGGTCATTAACAAAAGAACTATAGTGAATCATCAAACCATTAGATATATCATGGTACAGAACCGTTCAAGGTATTGCCTCCGTAGAACGCATCACAAATAATAAAATGCCTGAGACCATCCGACCAAAAATAAAGACCCACTGGAAGATCTAATATCCATCCACCACCAAGAAGAGAAATTGAAAATGGTTTGGACACGTCAGAGAGTATGGCGTGCATTTTCAGTGGTAGCACCTTTGCAGTGAAGCGGTCGATTTTGCTTTACTCCGGTGAATTGGGTTGCGGAATTGCACTAGTCCACGGACATCTAACACTTGCACATGGCTCGAAGAAGTCGCATGGGAACTTCGATTACCACGCCCCGGTCAACGGCATCAACCTGCCGGCTAAACTGTGTGAGAGTTGTCAGAAGGGTTTCCCGACCTGACCGTTGATGGGGAACGTCTCTCCCCAACCCATCTGTGCCAAGCGACTATTGGCCTGTCGCCAACTTGGGCGTAGAAGCTGCGCCTCATAGGTCAACTGCTGTACTAGTGGGCGGAGGAATTGCGAGAGTAGGAACGGGGTAACCTCAACTTCCCCGGCGCAAAAGAAACTGGCGAACCATTGCCTAATTTTGGCTTGATAGATACCATGAACCCTAATTATAACAGCGGAATGCCCACACTGAATCTCTGTAGATGTATTTGAGATGGCGCTCTGTTTATTTATTAAACAGTGTATTTATTTATTTTCGTATAGTTTTTATTTATTTTAACGATTATTTTGTCGGCGGTAGTCTATTCTAACGCTTATTTTGGAACTATATATATATATATATATTATTTATTTATTCTAATTTTATCATATAGACAAAAGCATTTTACTCACCACAAAGATGCAATTTGGTTTCAGTGCATTTCTGCACAAATCGAAAATAATTATCGCTCTACTATCAGCATCGTGCCCTCTTTTGTATTAATGCTGTGAACGTTGGTATTTATATATTACATTCGTTCTCATCGCGTCGGATATATATATATATATATATATATATTATGAAATGGACAAAGTACGACAATTATTTTAAGACATTTTTATGTTTATACATTCTTTTTATAGATACAAACATTTAAGTAAACGCTCTGTTTTTATAATAAACAGTATTTATAATATTTACCGGCCTGAATGTCCGAGAAATTTTATAGGCCGGTAAATGTTGTTTAATATATATATATATAGGGAAATTATTTTGATATACGTTAGGTTGTCATGTGGGAACGGCCAGACGCCGATGAAGAAACGATGCGATTATCGGACCTCCTAGACCATGACAGCCTAACTTCTTCGCAATGACATAAAGAGAAGTGCCTTTAGCACTTTACATGAGAATGACAGACTTTTCTTCATCTTTGTGATCTTTTCCACGTCTTTATGGTTCTTAGAGAGGAAAACGCTATTAGCGTGGTTCACCCAAAAACTGTCGAATCTGAAATAAAAAAAAATAAAGGACGTTACACAGAATAATGTAAACCTAGTAATGATGTTGCCGTATTAGGGCAAAACAGCTGAGAAAAGTTTTATCAAAATTAAATCACAGAAAAACGAGAAATTCTAAATTCACTACGAAAATATTAGCCTGGTTCTGGTGTATACATAAATATATATATGTACATAAGATTTTTTCTAATTGAGTTATATATATATATATATATATATATACATGAATTATTCATACAAAACTAATGCAAAGGTTAATGATTTAAATGGCGAGACATCCATCTTGCAAACGATTCAAATAGTACACAAAAACCTCTAAATCCGTTATGCATGAGTTGATCCTTGTTTATATAAATTTCTGCCGTATTAGTTGTTATTTTTACTACAAGCTTTCGTCTGTTCCTACAGACATCGTCAGGTATATAATAGATGTTGTTCTTGGTTTTTTCTCTTAGTAATAAGAGGACATCGAAAATATATGTGTATTGTATCCGAAATGCTATTAAAAATGAGTTATTGGTTTTTGAACGCGCCAAAGCAACGCTGAGTTTGATTTTGAATTTTTTTTAAAATGTCTG